TTCTCTCTCGTACGTCTTTTCTCGTCCTATTCTTCTCTCTCTCTCTCTCTCTCTCTCTACTTCCTTCTCAGTTCTCTCGTGATTCTACTGCTATCTAATTAACGAAGGAAATTGATATATATATATATATGTACATTGTATAATTCAGTCATCTCCGGGTTTACCTACCCCCCTGCTCCTAGGGGGTTGGTATCGTTACACAATCCGGACTGGCGTTATTTGAACGTTACGGCGTATCGAGAATCCGTCAGAATCTGAAGAGCTGGTTTTACGTATCAAAGCGAGGGTGAAAGGGTAAAATCAGTGTGTGTGTGAGAGAGAGAGAGAGAGAGAGAGAGAGAGAGAGAGAGAGAGAGAGAGAGAGAGGGATGAAAATAACTAAGTGGAAAAAAGGGTAGAGGGAAAGAGAAAAAGTACAGGGATGGTAAAACAAAAATTGGCAAAGCTACAAAAGTACCCTTCAATTAGCCCTGCGATATTCCTATATACGAGAATGTAGAAGTTCCGGCATCTCCGTATGGACCCATGACTATCATGCTATTGTATTTCCTTGTTTCTCTGTATTTTACGAAATATACACGAGGGATGCTGCGGAGTAGTATTTTCGCCCAACCTCCTTTGAATTTATCCAACGTCTACCCTTCTGTCTCTGTGCAAATCTAGAGATACGGAATAACAGGAGTAATGGCCAAGAAATACAGACGATGTTTACGTTGTCTAATTAAATGAAAGGCCAACAGTGAAATACGAGGAGCTAGAATGACTGTCTTTAACTTTTAAATTATCTCCTTTCCGGAGTTCCAGTGTGTCCGTTTACTTTAATTAGGGAAAATAAATTTTTAGGAAAATACGAAAAAAAAAACAAAAAATGACAATCTTCTATAGTAATCGCTATATCTGAACTATTCGGCAGATCTTACAAATATCGTTGCGTAAAAGCAAATTTATATTTTTCATGAATCAGTACCTGCAACTTGATTAAAAAATAATCATTTCAGTTATTAAATAAAGATTACTAACACGACCCGATAATTCGATAACGACTGTACCGGTCATTACTCACGCGGCTGATCAATGTTGGGACCTTCCGAAAAACAATTAGATTAGCAAGCAGCGATTAGAAATCCCATATATTTTTCATCACCGATCAGCGATATGAAAACTTGATAACGTACGATAACGTCCCTGCGAGCGACGGTGCGATCGGAAAGATCCTGTTTTTTTTTACAGTCAGATAAAAATTTCTTCACTTCACGAGTGGGTAGGGTGAATATCAATGATAATGTTTTAAATCGTTTTCAGAGAAATATTAATTTGTACAAAAATTGTTAAAAAATATTTTCTTGGCCATTCCACGATTTACGTGACTAATTTTAAATTCCCAAGCTTCAGCCGTTACGTGAGTATTGGCATTGCCGAGAGAAAAAAAAAGGAATAAAAAATTCCAACAATTGACCCCAATACTGAAACAGATAACATAATTAGGTATCCGGTATACATAAATAGTCTGGAAGTATGTATATAGTCAGTAGATAGTAAAACAGCATTACGAGACAGTCTGGTTCGCAGACGGGCTAAGGAGAGCGACTCGATGCCAAGAAGTGTTACGTTTCGAGCGCTGTGATTAGACACGCCACGGGTTCGAAACCGGTTCTGGTCATTTTTTTTTTTCACCCGTTACTCCCCCTCCCCGTTTGGCAGAGTGACTCCGAGTACCTCACGAACTGTTGAGCGTTGAGAGAGACTGTTAGAGAGAGAGAGAGAGAGAGAGAACGACTACTCGTTTCGTCGTTTCGTTCCTCCGATTCGTTTCTTGGCTTACTTTCTCCTTGCGTAATAGCCGGGAAGCTTTCTTCTCGTTAGTCTAGTCACTGCCATCTGGAATACCAAGATTCTACCCAGAACCCGTAGCCCCGTTGGCTATAAGCTATTAAACCGAGATGCGACCGTCAGCATCCGTCATTGGACCCGCTCCAATTACGCAGCGAACCGCTAAAATGCAGGAAATTATTTTTTCTTTCAACCAATCATTCTCAATGATATTATACATATATACTATTTTTTGTTTTTCTTGCAAATTCCACTTACCAGCGAAACGGAACCGCGCGGCCTGCGGTTTCCAATTTCTCTATTGCAAGTGCCACGTGTTTGGTCGGTAGTTATCCGTGCGGTCCGGAACCGTTCGGCCATGGGTGAGTCGTGAATTACGCCGATCGCGATAAATTCTTTCGTCACGCAGTCAACTTTATCCTCGACGTTTCGTATCTGAGAAAATATTCGCTATTCCCGTAACACTGACTCACGACTTCCTTTTCAGGTCGTAATATACTGTGCTAAAGGCGATTCTCACGTTAGGGATACTATGGAGGATCCTACCTGCTGGTTCCTCCCTGGCTTTTGAGTACATACGTATAAATGTATATATATAAGTGTTGTCAAAATGGTCAGGGCCGACCAGCACGACGCTTACCTGACTGTAACTAAGTCGATGATCAAACAGCCAGGTCGTGTATATATATACGTATAAGCTTCGCCATGGAGACTTGCTCCTTGGATGAGGATCAGGGTTTCTAGCTGGGGGTCTGAATAATGGATATTCGGCCACAAGTTCAGACTGTGCATATAGTAATATACAGCAAGATATGCTATAGGAAACCCGAAAGCGCACTGACGTACGTGGCACCGGTATAAAGGGTAGACGAGAGACGGGCCAGTGGGGTACGTGTAAAATAGTTCCTAGGGGAAGAACAATTCAAGTGTATGCCATTAACCGAAAACTCAGGGAAACGGGGCAGACTGTGGGCGTCGACCAGTCTGCCCGGGAACACGTGTTTTCTCGGAATAGGAATTCGATATTTCCTCGAAGCGCATTCTTTCGTGGAATTGTCGAGAAAAGAAAAAATACACTGGAATGCCACGTGGAGGTCGAGAGGCCCCCCCCCCCCC